TTAGACAATCTTTTTACAAATATAGATTACATGCCTCCTTGTATATTGTGTCAGGATGATTTTGTTGTGTTTCCAGTTTGAATCCAAACAATTAATTTTACACAGTAAATTTATTTTATACTCCCAGCAAGAAAACTTTGACAATCTTTACAAATTAAGCAGACTATTTAAAAGCCATAAATGACATTGTAAACTGTTGAACAGATTTTTTTTTCCCCTTAAGTATTCAAGTTATCGATTAGTGAGTTAATCTACAGTTGATTGGTCTTAACAATTAATTGTTTGTAGATTGATAAGTGGCCACAGGTGGCCATTTTAATGATTTCAAGAAGGCAGGCCGTTTTTACATTATAGGGCTATATATATATATATATATATATATATATATATATATATGCTTAATTATTTATTTTTTTTAAACAACCATTTCACATTTTGTCAGCAGCGTTACATTACGACTGAATAAACACAGAACAGTGGCTTTTGTCACATTAATAAACTTAGACATATTTATAAAATATAACAACCTATTATTATTATTGAACCTATTATTGAACCTATTTAGTTGCTGGATCGAAAAATAAAAGATAAGGATAAAATATGCGAAACACACCATGAACAAAGAGACGTTAATACTGAAATACCACCTGAATGTTAAAACTTCGCTCCATGAAGTGTATTTACTCACAATTAGCCCTTAAAACCATCATGTTTTTACCGTCATGTTACAATTTTTCTCGATTTTACCTCCGCATTCAGTCATCCTCACCTTCATAGCAAAGCAGTAATTTTTGTTAAAGTTGGCGCTGCTCCGTCATGCAGCTCGGCTGAGTTGAAAGGTGAAACTTAAGGAGCTTGTTGGGTTTTTATATTTCAAAACAGAACCACATAACGTGCATTTTACAAGCCGCACAGGACTCTTGTTTGGACCGTTTCTTTTTCCAGTTCCGTGTAAAACCCCGCCATCTTTCCTCCTGGCTCCGCTTAATGATGTCCAGCTGCGCCCTCTGCTGGATGGCGGGAAAACTACACATAACTTTTTCTAACCTAACATATTGCGAACATACCAGTATAATACTGATCCTTTAACTACGCTGACACAGTTAGGGTTTCCTTGCCTGTTATTGTGTTGTAGGTTAAAGCCAAGATTGTCTCAAATTGTAAAGTCATTCCCCATAACACTGAAGATACTGCTTCCAAACTGGTTCAAACCCCAGATTGGCAGTCCTGTCTTTTCAACACATAAAACCTGTGCATAATTTTGTAGTGTGTTTGCTCAGCTTTCACAAATGTTGAGCAGCTGCGTTGCATCACACCCTTCTTAAGCAGTCGGGTTGAAGATCCTAACGTCTAAATAATACATTTAAACAATAGCAATCTTTGCAGAGCCCCACAGTGAAAGTGCTGTTTGTTCTCACTATGTAAAAATTTGCTTCTGGTGTACTCTATCCTGTTTACCTTTGGGGTGTCTGGATTTGAGTTGTTTTCATGGTTTTAAGTGTGCTTTGTAATTTCCCAAAATTAACCTTTTTCTGTTTTTCTTTGTTTTACCTTAGAGGGATTGTTACTGATGATTTTCTATCACCTGCTGTTCTCCTCTTGCAGTTATCTTCATTGAGACCACCTGTGTTTCACCAGCCTTGGTGAGAACATATGATTTTGTCTTATCCTCTAACTCAGTTTGTCTGTCTGCTTCCTGTGACGTGTTCTGGATTTCTTGTATCATCCATTTCGGTTCTGTTGCTCTTTCTGTCCCAGGAGGCGTTTAGAGTCTTTTGTTCCTTCAGTCTCCAACAATCTTGACCTCTATAAGTCAACAGCCAAACAAACTGCCCTCCTTTCAGAGACCTCAGGCCTCCAGAAAAGATTGTAAACATTCAAGAAAAGACAACAGTGTCAACAACTGAGTTTGTCAAAGAGGCCATGCTTCATTCATATTAGAAAACTGGTGGACTCATAAATATTTGAAGCCAAATGTAAAACTGATATTCAGCGCAGTGATAAGTCTTACTTTGCAGATTTCATTTGTTTTTACTTTCCATTTACATTCACTCTACATGTTTCTGGTCACCAAACAAAAATTAAAATTAGCTAATGCTAGTGAATATATGTAGTTTTAGCCTACAAAGTCCCAAGGTTCCAGCCTTGGGACTTTGTAATAGATGTCATTTTTGCCCAGTTTTTCTTTCTGATTGTTGAATCATTAACACTGACCTTATGGAGTCACGTGAGCCCTGCAGTGCTCTAGATGTTGTTCTGGGTTCCTTGGTGACGTCCTGGATGAGTCGTCGAAATGCTCCCAGGGTCATTTCTGAAGGTCGGCCCCTGCTCTAATGGTTCATCACTGTTTTATGCTTTCTCCATTTGTGGGTAATGGATCTCACTGCAGTTCACTGGAGTCCCAAAGTTTTAGAAATAGAATTTCAACCCCTTTCCGGACTGATGACATCAATGAGTTTTCCTCCTCTGTTTTAAAATTTCTTTATGTCGTGTGATGATGTTTTGTTTTTTGAGCTCTTTTAAAATCATTTATTGAACCTTCAGGTCGCATTCAGACTGTTTCTTCTAATCTGTAAAGGGGCAAACTGTACAGGTGCTCTTAAATGTGTATCCTGGTTAATTTACTAAGTAAATGTAATCTTCTGGATTCATTTGATTACCTTTTTCATTTGCAGAAACTTAACAGCGTCTCGATTCTGCCCCTTTGAAATCCTGCTCGGTTCTCCTCAGTACTTTCTTACATAAGAGCACGTCTACAATCTGCCTCACTGAGGTCTTTTCCATTTTCTCCTTTTCCCTATCTTCACTGTTTTTGTTTCATCAACTGGTGTACTCGACATCTGCTGCATTATGAGACAGAAAAGGACCAAAGATCCACTCAGATGTGTATCGAATCAGTTGACTCCCCTGGGAAAGAGACGTGTGCATGTTACATGGGAATGTCTGTAGCAGAAATACTCCATGTTTTAATGCATTCTAAAGAGGAAACAAAACAAGCTAAAAGCTAACTTGTGGAATAAATTAATATGCTGATGTTGAAGCTTCTCTTCTCATCAACAAAATGCACTAAAAAGCCACTCATAATCATAATTTCAGTGTGTTTCTGTTCACTCCCTTTGAGAACTACCCAGAACCCAGTGACTGAACTCTCATGATAAGCTTCACTGATTCTCTTTATGAGTTGGTAAAAGTAGAGCAGACTGTAGAATACCTGATTTTTGTCTGTGAGCGCACTGGGAGCTAGCAGGAATAGCAACTCTCAGTGGGATGCTAAACTTTATTGCATGCCAACAACTAACGCTCTAATGATTTCTAATGCTCCCCCTTGACGTCTTAAGACCACCAGCCATGTTCCTTCGTTTTCATCTTGTTCACTAAGCTGCCATAGCAACTGCATCGCCAAGTCTCTGCAACAAAAAAACAAAATAAAAAAAAAGAAATCATAAAAGGCTCAATATTCAGTGGGATGGCAAAGAGGATCATCCACGAGGCTTTAAAAGATGCACAGCTGCGGCATGTTTTGCACAACACAATTGTGCGAAAGCGAAGTCGCTCTTAGTTTTTCCTCTCACCTACAAACAGTTGCACATGCAGGGGGTGTGTTGGGTGTGTGTGTGGGGGGATTTACAGACGACTGATGCTCCAGGTTGTGGATGTTGTTCAGACGTTGGTGTACAGCAGCAGCAGAAGCTTTGAGAGGAAGGGAGATGCTGGGTGGGGGAGAGGAGGAGGAGGAAGAAAAAGAAGGTGCAAATGCTGAATAATGGATGACGAGAGGTGAGAGAGTGGAATTCAGCTGCCGCTCTCGCTCCCCAGAACGCAGAGCGTGAATCATCCTCGACATGGATCAAATGGCAGAGTCCACTGAAGGGCTGGGTCGGTGCAGCGAGCAGCGCAGAGGGTATCTGCCAAGTCTGGGAGTCTGGAAGCAGGAAGGGTGGAGGATGGTGGAGGAGAGATGCTACGGCAAACAGAATGGGTGAGGAGTGCCGCGGATGTTACTGGAAGTGAAACCCAAACACAGATGCTCATTTCTTTACATGTTTCACTCAACGTGTCGGGTCAGACCTCTGTCTCCTGAATGAGAATGAGATCTGACTGTAACTGATGGTTCTTTATTAAATCATGGAATCTATAACTGCGATTCTTCATGGAGGTTTCCTTTCAATACCACAGCCATTCTTCAATTCTCTCACTGCAGATGTTTTCAAAATGTTTGATGCAGGTCCCAGAAACCATTGGTTCCATTGGTAGCATACAGTAAAAACAAACTATGTTCACACTGAAATGTTAACATCTTATCTTAATCAGGACAAATGGGTTTGCTTCGTGTTTAATCTTCTTTCAACTTGTTCCTTTACATTGTTTTAGGAACGTCAAATTGTAGCCGTCTTGAAGGATCTGTTCCAAATTGCAATTTTGTTTTCCAACTGAACCGGGTCTACCAGACTGTCAGAAAATACAGTGAACTGGATTCTTTAAACTGCATTGAGATTTTACCTTTGCTATAAATTAGAAAGAAATAAACTGAAACAAATTAAACTTGAATTATGGCTCATCAGGCTGAGACTGGCACCTGGATGACTCAGCCATTTTAGTCAAGTTTTTGGATTACTCATTGCTTTTTGAAACACGTCATTCTTTCCTAAACTAAACAAAACAAACTGCCCCCTCTGGTCTCCTTGTATTAAATATATTGTTATCTTCCACTTGAAACTTGAAAACATCATATTACTTATTTCTGTCCAAGCTAAGAATCTGTAACCAGAGCATTTCACAATCAAGCTTTAATATGCATTAGTGAACTTTCACGCATACTTGACTTCTAAGCTCTTCTGATCAAGGCCTTGTTCTTGGTCTTTTCTTCCTGACTTAGAGGATGATTGAAGTGTGTGTGTGTGTGTTTGTTGTCCTTGGCTCAGGGCAGTCTTCCTCTGGGAATCAAGACTTCAGGCTTTACATCACATCTGAAAACTCGTTTTTTGTCTGGATGTTTTTGTGTCTCACTCACTCGATTTAGGATTCAGCTGCCGTTGTTTTGTTGCAGTTTTCTTCCTTTAAATGTTGTTTATGCATGTATTTGTTTTCTATGTATTCCCAGTTCAAAATAAATGTATTTATGTGCGCAGTGCAACATAATTCCTTTTTCTAAAAAAAACACTGCATTCATTTACAAACCCACGGTTTCAGAAGGATTGCCTTCTGTTCACCCTTGTTTCATAAACATCCTCAGCAAATTTCTAACAAACATCCTTGAAGCATTTTCTGCCTTCAGTGTCTGTGTTTGTGGCAACAAAAATACAAACGGGGTCTGACTTCAGTGTATATTTGAAAGTAGAAACTCTGTCAGCAAATTAACCATCCAGCATCTCCAACTTCATGACTGACTGAAAAATGAAAACCCAGACAATCCCAGACTAAAACCCATCAACTTTGCAACTTGAAGCCTTTCTCCTCTGCTGTATCACTGTTAGTTACATTACATTGCATTACTTCAGTCCATTGTGCGCTGAGTGAAAGCTGTGCTTTCAAGCTGAATACAATAAACTGGTTGAAACACTTCCTGCATTGATTGAATGCTTCAACATGCTGATCTCTGTGTTATCACTGTGCAGCAAAGGATGTTGACATGGTTTTTTTGGGATTGTTGTGGCCAAAAATGACTGATTTTCCTGTATCTTTTTCAAAACATTGCGGTCAAAGTTGCAATTTTAAAAAAAAAAACTTTATTTGTGCCATAGCATAGTCTTACAAAAAAAAGCACATAGTCTCGTTTTTTCGTCAAGTTATAATCCTTCAGAAGTGAAATTAGACGGGAGCTTAGAGGACAGATAAAAATTCAACCGAGTTGCAGTAATTCATCAGAAAAGAAGGAAACACTGAAAACCTTAAAGGTGATTGGTCAGATTTGCGGAAAGCAGCGTTAATTGGTGAAAATTGCAAATTTAATTGCATTTAAAAAGGGGGAAGAGTTTAATT